TCTATGTTCACATTGCATGCTACGTTCAAACCAAAGCTTTATCCTGAATCCATTAGGAAACATGAAGTAAGGTCTCCTTTGAACTGAGCTGAGCTCTTCATGAGTTCATGAACACTTCGATGGTAGTTTCCTTAGCAGCAGCAGTACAGAATTGGTTTTCCACTGTTTTCTTCTGGGATGTTTTTTAACTTCCTAGTTAAAGCCTACAGATTGGGATTCCCTGATGGTCTGCCCTCCAAGTTTAATTAGTCCTTTCAAAGCCTCGGCTTTCTTCTGGGCTGAGTGCCCTCCATACTACATTTGTATGCTGGGGATTACCTAGACTGGTCCTAAAATCACTCCCAATGCTTATGCTGCTACTGTAGGTTCTGGAAGCAAAGGGCTAGTAAAGCATGCTCTTACAGGAGAAAGATTTCCCATACAGTAAATAGGTAATAAAAAAATTCCTATGAAATACATACAATGGCACTAGAGGCAAGAGGTTCAAAACGTTGCCTTTGTGAATTCATTCCTTGGTCAATCCATTGGACTACAGTGAACCTCAAGGTATTTTCTGCTTCAGTGTACGTACAAGCCACCAGGAGTAAAGCAGAATATGCAGCAGGAATTTTCGATTAAACTGAAAGAGCATCATGTTTTGAATGAACATTTTGGCATGAAGATTGTTCCATCTGATGGTTCTTGAGATTGTTTCTCATGTTCTCAGATACATGTCATCACCAATAACTTCCTCTCGTAATAGCACAATGTGACATGCTTTCAACATTAGAGCTGTGGCCATTGGCCCCCAAAGATTGCCTAACCCTCCATAAACATTCTTGTTCTGGGTTGGTTTTTTGGGTGTGGTGGGGGGAAGTGGGGGACATCCTGTGTTTGAGGAAGGTTATTGAATGCTGGTGTTCCTGCTTTTTGTGTTCTGATGATTGCTGGCTTGTTAGTTTTAAACTTACTCAGAAAAAGATCTGGCTTCCTCTTAGAAAATATTGGTTTTGGCAAGAGAGAGAGAGAGAGACAGAACAAATGGTTTCACCTAACCAAGACGAGAATAAGGGCTCTCTGGATGCCTGCTTTAAAATACGCTCCGTCAGTCCTTGAGATCTCAAAGAAATATACCAACATAAACTGTGCTCCTCCCCATTGCTGAACCCTATTTTGCCATAATAAGATTGGGGAATGGTACCATCCTTACGGGCAAAGCTTCGTTCCCCTCCCACCAAGGGTTAGTGGGAAAAAGACTACAATTGCTTTTCTTAACAGGGGGTGGAGGGTAGGTGGGATTGGATGACGGTAGGCAGATGCTAAGAATGGCAAGTTTAGGCACCTGCAAAGTTGCTTGATTGAGGTGGCAGCCACTAAGGAGGAATGAAATAAGTCCAAAGGGCCAGTGTTCCTCACCCTTCGCAACTTTAAGATATGTGGACTTCAACTCCCAGAATTCTCCAGCCAGCCATGCTGGCTAGGGAATTCTGGGAGTTG